GAATTTGACACGACTACCAATTAATGGGGCAGATTCTCGGGAGGAACTTGACGTGACCTAATAAGCATTATTCAAAATCTCATATTTCCACATTCATATAATTCTGTGGGCCAGCAGAACAGAGACAGATGAACACACACAGAGATATATAGCACACAAATGCACAGGTGTGGACATGTGCGCACACCTCTATCTCTCAGCAGATGACTTTTATCTAGGTGTGCAGATTGTTGAATGGCCAAGCAAAGTTAAGCAGAGATGCGAGCTTGGTGGTCCTCAGGGGAGAACCACTTTCTTCTTCTTTGTGCAGGTGAAGAGGAAGCTGCAGGGAATGGAGTGTCCGCTCATGAGCAGGAAAGGGCTGAGGGCTGGGAAACAGCCCATAGCAAATTCCGCTATATGGTGCAGCACAGGGCTGGGGTTGTAAATTACAGATAAGCAAATCTGACAGATGCAGGACATGGTATAAAAGGAGACGAAGGCACTCACCAGGAGGAGGATGCTTATGGTGGCTCTGGACTCCAGAGGGGCTCTGGTGGAGACACTGGTCCTCTGGATGTGTCGCATTCTCTGCTTGTGTCTGTACAGGATGAAGAGCATGGAGGTGCTGGCCCAGAGCATGAGCCCCAGACACAGAACATCAGGCACCGAGAGTATGGCCACATGCAGCACGTCAGCAACTGGATCATTACACATGGAAGAACAGTATCCATAGGCTTTTAAGCTCGTCATATTGTCATGTGCTTTGGGTCCGATCATGTACATGACACAAACAATTCTCAGGAGGAGGAAGATCCCCCCCAGCTGAGGTACACTGTGGAGACAATGTGCTTGTGGCTCTCCCCTTCAGCCCTGCCCACCTGGAGTCTCCCTGACTGATGCTGACAGCAAGGAAGATGCTCAGGGAGCAAGTTCTAACAATCGATACCACCCTGCACACTCAGTGAAGATAGAAGACAATTTTGCACCACACATCATTTAAGAAAATTCTCCAGCACAAAGCCACCATGGTTTGGGGAACACTCCTACACAGAAGACTTAGGAAGTTGGCCACAATTAAGTGCCTAAGAATCAAGTCTGTGGCTCTCATCCTGGTACCCATGCAGAAAAGGAATAGATAATGGGAGAGAAGAGACAAATTACCCACAAACCCAACCACAGTCTGGCCTAAGAGGATCACTCCCATAGACACATAGGCATCTTCCATCCTCTCTGTTCCTTGAGTCTCATTCAGAGCCTCTGGCTTGGGAAACTGAGGCCTTCATGGTCCCAAGGGAACTCAACATTCTCCATCCCGCATTCACACCACTGGAAATACTGTCCTACTGTCTCTCATGTATTAGGAAAAATCCAATTCTATTCATCCATTGGGAAGAGGAAGACGGCATGTTCAGGGAAATGGGTGAACCTGGAGAATGGCATTAAGGGAAGGTGAATCAGGTTCTGAGATGAAGGCAGCTACATTTCTCCTCTGTAGAATCAGATCTAAGATTCTAAACAAGCAAGTCCCTAGTGTCTCAAGCCTGTAATCCTAGCTACTCAAGGGCTGAGACCTTGGATGCACAATTCAAAGCCAGACCAGAGAAGTAAAGTCTGTGAGACTCTTCTCTCCAGTTAAGCACCAGCAAGCCAGAAGTAGACCTGTGCTCAAAGTGGTAGAGGCCTAGCCATGAGCAAAAAGGGCTCAAGGAACATGGGCAAGCCCCAAGTTCAAGCTCTCTGACTGGCTAAAGAAAGAAACTTGAAACGTGTGACACATTCCTGGGGTCACATGCACTTATACCTCAATACACTGGCTGGGGGCGTGGGTCCCAGGTGTCACCGTTTCCTCAACACGGAGCCCACATTTCACAGAAGAAATACCAGGAAGATGAACCAGGTCTGCGGTGGGGATGGTGCGGTTGAAGGAGGAGGTGGATGACAGAGAACGAGAGGGGCAATTTTAGGTTCAAATGCCATTCTAGAGTCACTGATGTGAACACATCTTCCCCAGCCCCTGGACAATCAGGATTCCTCCTCATTTGTCATAAACCAGGACAGACTCTGTGAGGAAGAGGAAGTGAGGAACCCACAGGGCTTGGGGGTGGGGGGGCCTAGAACCCCAGTTCTTTTCACTATCCTAGCCCATTCCTATCCTTCCCTGTTTCTTTGTCATGCATCCGGTTTCAATCCAGAATCCCTGCTCCTAAGGTGATTTCTTACCCAGAGTGTGGAACCTGGGGTCTCTCCTGAAGGCTGCACCTCTCCAGTGGCAATGAACACAAGTGCTCGCCTCTTCTCTCAGGATGTGCGTGGCAGGGCGGGTCATTTCTGAGATGCACATGGGCACTTCAGAGCTGCAGAGGGCTCCTTAGATAGGGTCCAGGAGGTCGGCAGCCAAGGTTATCTCCCACGGGAGCGGTGATTTTCCCTTCACCTGGGGTGGCAGACCAAGTTCTCAGTAAACTTTTTCTTTTCCCCCATGTGACAATTATCAAGACACTTTTCACTTTCATGTGGGTGCTTCTCCAGGGGGCAGGGGAGTGCTGCAGTCACTTACCTCTCCTGCATCCCAGTAGGCCGGCAGGAGACACTGAGACCCAACTTGAGATTACTGTCTGTAAACAACCTCAGCGGTGTGTAAGCCATGTGTCCCCAAAGTTTCTTACCCAAAGTGTCCCTTCTCTTTTTTTCCAGTTCTAAGACTTGAACTCTGGGCCTGGGCACTGTACCTCAGCTCTTTAGCTCAAGGCTAGCAGTCTTCCAGATGATACACAGCTCCACTTCCGGCTTTTTTTTCCTGCTTATGTGGTGCTGAGGAATTGAACCTAGGGCCTCAAGCATGCAAGGCAAGTGCTCTACCACTGAGTCACCTTCCCAGACCTTATGATTGTATTTCTATCCACTGTTCTGGATTTGCTTTCATATTGTGCTTCATCATTGATTGCATTTGAGACAACTGTTTTCATGCCAGGCCCAAATAGCTGTAAATTCCTGAGAAGCTTTTGCTGCATCCCAGAGGTTCTGGAAAGTTGTGCTATGGTTTTGATTCTTGAATTTGTAAACTTGTTCCTTTATTTGATCCTTAAGTCTTATGGCTGACTTTGGGCTCGACAGCCTATCACTTGATGAGAGGGGTCTTAAGCCAACATTCTAACTTGGCCTGGACTTAAGGGTCTATGGCCTCCAGTAGTACTAGCTCATGAAACCAGGGCAGCAGTAGGCATCTGTGCACTGGCTCACTGTCTGTCAGCAGAGGGTGACAGTCTTTATCTCATCAGCCTAACTTGGGTTTGATATCTCCCCTGCTCTCATGGGACATGCAACTGGGGCTCCCTTTCAGGTCAGTTCCCATTTGCTTGGCATGGTTTTCCACACTGAACTTTCAGTTTTCAGTCTTGGCTGGTGAAATGTCATCTCTATGCAGTGCTGGTTTATAACTGGGCCAGGCCAGCTCTCCCTCCTGGCTGAGAGGCACAGGGTAGAGCTGGGTCACAGCTTTATAGTTCAGGCAGGTGTATACAGATCCGGAAAATACTGTCTGCTTTATGCTGTATATCAATTCCCCACCACCAAATAGCTCCAAATTTTTCATATGCTATCTATTGCCATCTACTCCTTTCTATCTCATATATTTGTCTGTTCTGCTAAAAAAAAACAACTTTCCATGAAGAACAAAGCCTGGCACCTGCAGGAAAATGGATGAACCTGTATTTCATCATACATCTTGGGAAGGAAAACAAGCCAGACAAGAAACGTAAATATGTTTTTCTCAAGTAGAATCCAGACTTTAAAAGACACAAACCTAGCCAGGTGCCGGAAAACCAGAAGTGAGGCTGTGGCTCAGGTGGTAGAGTGCTCGCTCTCAGCTGATGAGCTGAGGTCCAGCAGCCAGGACCAGAGTTTAATACACATGAGTAACCAAAAACAAAAAAAGATATAAAGCCGTAAAGGAGACTCACACTGATGTCCTCGACCACAGGGGCCTTGGGAATGCTTGCCGTACCCAGTGGGAAACCCAGGCTTTTTGACAATGCTATGTGCTCATCAAAATACATGGATGATTTCCCCAGGGCAGGGGTGTGGCTCAGTGAACAGTAAGAGGACTTGAGCAGTAGGAGGATGTGAATAATAGGAGGTTGTGAACAGTAGGGCCTCCGCAGGCAGCCCGGGTCCTTGGCCAGCTCTGCCACAGCAGGCAGCATGCCTAGGGGTCAGGACACTCAGTGTGAGCACTTAGGACTAATTGTCCTCACAGAAAAGGGCAGAGACCAAGGCCCCAGGACACTCCCCCCAACCCTCACTAAGACCTGAGGGTCAACTGTTTCTATACCTTTATTTCTTTGTGAAAAGAGGGGGAAAGGAAATAAAATATAAAAAGTACAGTTGACACAAATAAACCACCAGGGTAGGGGGTGGGGGGAGGGAAGGGGAGGGAAGTGGGAGGGAGGTGGGGATGGGGTCCCCATCTCAGCAGCAAGAGGCAGTGACCCGGATACTCGCGTCTCTCCCTACAGGGCAGAGTGGCACCTTCCTCCTGGCTGCTGTCCATCCCATCACGTGTCCCTCAGCCTTTGGGAGGGGGCCAGGTGCCATCTCCCCAGGGACCTCAGGGAACCTGCATAGGTCCAGGTCTGGGTTCAGGCCATGCACAGGGAGGGCTGTCAGCGACACACTGGCTCCTTGAGGGAGGAGATCAGTGAGGGCTGAGCGGAGGGTGGGCCGGAGCCAGGCACTGGAGGCCCAAGCACTGGCTCTTCTTCCAGCATCAGGCAAGAGACAGAATTGGAGGAACAGGAAAGGGCCGGCTCAGAAGCCCAGCCTGGCCCTCTTGCGCTCCTGCCTAGGCCCCACCACCCTTTCCCCATCCACCTGCCTATCTGGCCCCCAGACCCTGCATGGGCACTGCCACACTCTGGCCCTCCCGGGCCCCTGCCCGGGCACCACCACCCCTCCCACCTGCCACTGCCCGCCCACCCACAGCCCGCACCAGTCAAGGCCTCCAGGGCAAAGTCCTGGTCCTAGGTCAGATTCTCCAGGACTGGCTTGACCTCGCTCTGCAGGGTGCTGGAAGCAGAGGTGAAAGGGCTGGAGCCTGAAGCTGATGGGGCCCACAGCTGGGAACTCAGTTCAGGCCTGGCCACCCCCTTGCATCTCCAGACTGCTAGCCATGCTGAGCCACCCCTCACCTCCCTTCCCTTCACACCCCCTCCCCATTAGGCTCGCCGCCTCCACTGCTGACTCTTCAGTCTACAGTGAAGCCAACACTGGCAGGAAGCAGCAGGGAGCAGTGGCAGCTGAACACAGTGGTGCACATCTGGAATCCCAGCCACTGAGGAAGCCCTAGCAATAGCTGGGTGTGGTGGCACCCCTATTCCTAGCAGTGTGAGCAGCATGCACAGACCAGGCAGCCTGGGCCTACACATGCACTCTGTGAAATATAACCAAGGTAAAAAGCACTGGGCGCATGGCTCAAGTGGCAGAATGCTTGCCAAGTGAGGTCAACCCTCTCTATCACTACAAAGGAAGGAACAGTGTAGCTGGAGAGGAGCATAACAACAGCGAGTCCCAGCTCACCTGTTGTGGAGGATGGGCCTGATCTTCTGCAGGGAGTTGGCCACATTGAAGCGGACTTTGGCGACGGGGTCCCCTGCCATTCGAACAACGGTGGGCAACATGTGCTTGGTGGTGATGTCCTGCCTGCACACCTCTGACAGAACCTGGCCAAGCATGGGCACACAATCAGTACAGTCAGTGCCTGACAGCTGGGCCCGGGTGTCAAGGCGGCAAGAACCCTCACCGGCATCCAAAAGGCACACACAATTGACACCACCTCCCCGCAACTACGATTTACAATGAGCTCAACTCTGAACACGCAGCCAACGGTGTGTCTCACACCAGGTCACCCACACCCAGTCCAAGGGTGCCGGAGGCCTGGAGTCCACCCAGCTCTGGATGTGTAGAGCTGGCCCTGGCCCCCGGCCTCTCCACTCCCAAATTTGGTGTCACGACGGGGCTGTGTGTGCCTCTCCCCTGGCAATCCGGCTCCTGGGTACAGTTGGCGCGCGAGCCACACTCACGTTTATGCAGAAGAGCATGGTCATGCGATGCAGGTAGTTGGGGTCTCCAGACATGGCCAGCACTTTGGGGATGATGGTGGCATGGGCCCACTCCTTCCTGAACTTGTCCACCAGCTTCTTGAGGTTGCTGGTGGCTGCCTTACAGATGGCATAGACTGCAAGGGGGACAGGAAGGCTGCCACGCCGACTCCAGTGGAGTCTGCTTAGCATGGGAAACCATCTATCAGACCAAGATAGGGGCTTCAGAGACCTATCTCTGAGTTTTGGGACTTCACTGAAGTCTACCTCAGAGAATGGGGCTTTACAGAAACCTATCTCCAAGTTTTGGGGCTTCACCAAAGTCTACCTTGGAGAATAGGGCTTCTAAGAGGCCTACTCCTGGAAAAAGGCTGTCAAGCCCCTGGGAAAGATGTGTTTCTGCCTTTCTTTTCCTCACTGTATAAGAGTGCCTATTAATCTTTTACTGTTTCTGCTGCTCATTGTGCTTACTCATTGTCAACGTTCCCTTATTCAAAGCTCTTTCTTAAGAGTGTTGACGACTCCAATATCTGATGAATGTCTCAAAAATATGACTAACTCACCAGAGTTAAGTGCTACCCTGCAACCCCTCTTATGAAGGCTAGTAGACAAGTTATAAGCAAATATAAAAGTATTGGGGGTTTCACAAAGTCACTCCAGCAGAAGGAATTGTAAGAAATTTACAAGAAGCTGTAGGCACGGCTAGAACAGAAGGAATGTATGGCAATTGCTGAGATAACTACTTAGGAGAAAGAACTTCCTGGTACTCTCATTTACTGAGACTTGCTAGATCTAGGCCTCCGTGACCTTACTATTAAAGAAGGACCAGGAAAAATCTTATGGGATAATTAAGGCCTCTATAGAAATAAGGTAATGGTTAGTTGGTGACAAACGTCGAAACCCATTATATTTCTTAGAGATAAGCCGGAAACAAGTGCCTTTCAGGCGACCAGCTGGTGACCACCTAAGAATGAAGCCCTGCAGCAAGATTGTGTAAACTTTTGCCCTTTCAGGCGACCAGCTGGTGACCATCCAAGAACGAAGCCTTGCAGCAAGATTGTGTAACCTTTTGCCCCTTTCTTATGAAGACTTCTGTTATAAAAGTTTGTTATCCTCTGCATTAAATCGCACTCACACTCAGCACTCAGCATCCACTCCTAATGTGTGTGAGTTGTCTGTTTGCCATCTCCCCATCCTATTCCAGGTTCCTCCCCTAGGTATCCTCCGTCATCCCGACAGAACCCGGTCCGTGGCAGAAGGCCATGGGGGAGTGTTAGAGTGGGTCAGGGCTCAGCACCAGCATCCCTCAAGGTTCCAACAGCAGGGGGCTACACAGACAGAACAGTGGCGTGCCCCGCCCACTGGCTGCCAGCTCCTTATGGCAGGACTCACCATGGTCCACCAGCCATGCTATGCACAATGAGTTGAGTTTCTCATCAAAGAATTCCACTCCCTGCCAGAGGAGAGAGGTGGTGAGGGCTCAGAGGGTGAAGGAGGATAGCCAGCCTCCTCTCCCCTCCCTGCCCTACCCGGCATGCCCTGGATCACGCACCAGCTGCCTAGCCACCAGGAACATGTACTCAATAATGGCCAAATGCACCCGCCACTTGGCGTTCTGGGCTAGCTCCACGATGGCTGGCAGAAGCGACTGGGACAGCTGCCGGATGGCGAAAATCTCCTTCACATAGTCCAGGTTGGAGATGATGTTCAGCCGCACCTCAAGGGACTGCAGAGGATGGGGATCCAGTGATGCCTGGCCCAAGGCGGCCCTGAATGGGGGGAGGGGTGTGCCACCCCACAGCAACACCCTACAGACCTGCCATATCCCCAAGGTCACTGCCCCAGCCCCAAACTGGCCCTGGGGATACCTGCTGGACTCCGCAATGGCCATCGATAACCTGGGTGGGGGACTCGGGGAGGGAATACTCACCTGTCCCTCAGCTGGGCCAGGAAGAGTGGCAGGAGGTGATCAATGGTGTTGTCTTTGCCCAGAAGGGGAGAGAGGCCGATGATGACAGAGGCCAGGGCAGACTTCACGTGCTGGTTGGCATCTGACCCCAGTTCCTGGGAGGGAGCGGGGAGGGAGGCCCAAGGGGACCTGCCTCAGCCTCCTCTGCACATGATTGGCAGGGGGTTTGGGGGCGGGCTGCAGGGGTCCTGTCTCCATCTCCTTGGCTGAAGACCATGACCCAGGTGCCTGGGGCATTTCCACAGCCTGTTCTGGGCCCTCTTTAATGCCCAGCTGACTCCCTCCTCCAATCCGGTTACCTTGATGCACAGCAAGATCTGGGTCATGATCACTTTCTCCCGACAATCTGCAGAGAGGTTCTCGCAGAACGCTGCAGGCCAGGGCGGGGGATGAGATGGTGCCGGCTACACCTCCACCCTGAGCCCCCCCTCCTCAAGCATGGGTCACGGGCACCCACCTTTCACCTTGTGGGAGTCCGCGGCCCTCACCTTGGCCTCACAGTCCTTTATCAGCTTCTAGAAAGCAGGCACCAGGTCTGTCCTGGTGATCTCAAGCCCCACTGCTTTCTGGAGCTGTCAACCTGGAACCAGGGAGAGGCGGGATGTGTGGAGGTCTGGCAGCCTCTCTCAGTTATTGAGGACAAAATCCAGGCAGAAGTGGTGCAGAGGTGTGGAGACTAGGCAGGCTGCTCTCCCCAGAGCCAGGCCACGTCCCCAGCAGCATGTGCCAAAACCAAAGACCTTAGTTCACACTGTCCCAAGTGGGCTTTCTGTGACCGGATCCACAAACATGCCAGCGATGCAGACTCTCCCGCTTTTACATTTACACTAAAATATAGTGGGCTGAGTCACTAAATGGGCAGGGGAGCTAAGGAGAGACTTCTCAGAAGAGAGAAGAATGGCAAAGAAACACAGGAGGATATGCTCATCATTCCTGGGCTTGAAGGAAGTACAAATCACAACAACCCTGAGATTCCATCTTAATCCAGTTAGATTGGCCAGCATTGTGAATTCGAACAAATGCTGGCAGGGATGTGGAGAAAAGGAGCCCTACTGTGCAGCTGGTGGGAATGTGAACTAGTGCAGCCACTCAGCACAGCAGTCTGCAGGTTCCTCCAAATACTAAACACAGACATTCCCTCCCACCCATTCCTGGGCATCTACGCTGAATGTCATGACAAGGACACCTGCACACCCATGTTCACTGCCACAGTACTCACAATAGCCAAGATATGGAAACAGCCCAGATGCCCCACAGTAGATGAGTGGACCCACAATGTGGCCAATGGAACTTTACACAGCCATTAGAAAGAATAAGATAATGTCACTTGCAGGGAAATGGATGGAACTAGAACAAATCATGTGAAGTGAGGTAAGTCAAGATTGGAGATTAACAGCGCACATTTTCTGATATAAGGAAGTTAGATCTAAAATGCACTGGGATATGACAAATGCCACAGGATTCCAGAGACTCACACACAGTGAGACCAAAGGAGAATAGTCTTAGGAGAGAATCACAAAGGCCCAATGCCTAAGCGTCTCTTCATATTCATATAAAATATTACACATATGGAAACAAATCCCAAGATGTGGAAACAAAATACATATATATATTTTGGTTTTAGCTTTTGATTTTTCTGTGTTCTTTATCTGATAAACAGCCTGTTCTCATGTTATGTTTGGGAGGGTCCAAGGAGGGAAAAAGGATGGAAAAAAGTGCATCCATGGAGCTCACTGGACATTGATGAAAGTGAACTGCTCAGCTGGTGGGTAGAGACGGGAGGGAGGGCCTGGGAGGGAATGAGAGAACAGCAGGGACTCACTGCACAAAAGAAAATGTCCTGTCGAAACTAAACCAAGATGAGTTAAACCATCTTAACAGGGCCATATCAAGTATTGAAATAGAAACAGCAATAAGAGTCCTCCCATCTAAGAAAAGTCCAGGACCAGATGGTTTTACAGTGGAATTCTACAAGGCCTTCAAAGCAGAACTCACACCAACACTCCTCCAACACTTCAATGAAATTAAAAGAGAAAGTTCACTACCGAACTCATTCTATGAAGCCATCATAACCCTCTTCCCAAAACCAGGCAGGGACTCATCAAAGAAAGAGAACTATACACCCATTTCTTTGATGAACATTGATGCAAAACTTCTCAACAAAAGTTTGGCCAACTTCAACAATTCATCCAAAAAATCATACACCACGATCAAACAGGATTCATTTCAGGGATGCAAAGCTGGTTCAATATACCCAAATCAATTAATATAATTCATCACATCAACAAGAGCAAGGATAAGAACCACATGGTTTTCTCAATAGGTGCAGAAAAAGCATTTGACAAGATCCAACACCACTTTGTGATAAAGGTTCTGGAAAAATTAGGAATCCATGGGACCTTCCTCAATACAATAAAGGCTGTATATGACAAACCTACAGCCAGCATTGTACTTAATGGTAAAAAACTAAAGCCATTTCCTCTAAACTCAGGAACGAGACAAGGATGTCCACTCTCTCCACTGCTCTTCAATCTAGTATTAGAATGCCTAGCTACAGCAATAGGACAAGATGCAAACATAAAGGGGATCCAAATAGGGAAAGAAGAAATAAAACTCTCCATATTTGCAGATGACATGATCTTGTATTTAAAGAATCCCACAGACTCCATTCCCAAATTACTCAAGCTGATTCAAAACTTTGGCAAAGCAGCAGGGTATAAAATTAACCCTCAAAAATCAATGGCTTTTTGTATGCTAACAAGGAGAAAAGTGTGGCTAAAATTAGGAAAGCAACTCCATTCATAATAGCCCCACAAAAAATAAAATACCTATGAATTAACTTAACCAAAGAAGTGAAGGACCTCTATGATGAAAACTTTAAAAACTTGAAAAAGGAAATCAAAACAGAACGTAGAAAGTGGCAAAAACTCCCATGCTCCTGGATTGGAAAATGGCAATACTTCCCAAAGCTATGTACAAATTCAATGTGATACCTATCAATATTCCAACCTCATTCTTCAAGGAAATAGAGGAGGCAATCCAAAATTTCATATGGAACAATAAAAGACCCCGAATAGCAAAAATAATCCTTAACAGAAAGAACAGTGCTGAAGGAATATCAATACCAAATTTCAAACTCTACTATAAAGCCATAGTAATCAAAACAGCTTGGTATTGGCACAAGAACAGACCTCAGGACCAATGGAATAGAATTGAAAACCCAGAAATGAACCTACAGATGTATAGCCATCTAATCTTCGATAAGGGAGAAAAAAAAAATTGAATTGAAGAACGACAGCCTCTTCAGTAAATGATGTTGGCAAAATTGGTTAACTACTTGTAGAAAACTAAAACTAGATCCTTATATATCACTCTGCACCAGAATCAACTCCAAATGGATCAAAGACCTTGGAGTCAAAGCAGACACTCTGAAAATATTACAGGATGGAATAGGAGAAACCATTGGTCTCCTTGGCACAGGCAGAAATTTTCTTAATAGAGATCCAGAAACACAACAAATCAAAGAAAGGTTGGACAAATGGGATTGCATGAAATTGCAGAGCTTCTGCATGGCAAAGGACATAGCTAGCAATATCAATAGAAAGCCCACAGATTGGGAGAAGATCTGCACTAGCTATACAACAGACAAGGGTCTCATATCTAAAATATACCTGGAATTCAAAAAATTAAATCCCCCAACAACAAATCTTCAAAGAAACAACTGCCCAATAAATAAGTGGACTAAAGACTTAAAGAGAAACTTCTCTGAAGAGGAAAGAAGGATGGCCAACAGACACATGAAGAAATGCTCAACCTCCCTAGCCATAAAAGAAATGCTAATCAAAACAACATTGAGATACCACCTCACCCCAGTTAGAATGGCAAAAATCAAGAACTCCAATAACAACAGATGGTGGAGGGGATGTGGACAGAAGGGAAGCTTACTTCATTGTTGGTGGGAGTGTAAACTTGTTCAGCCCATGAAATTCTTATCTCCAATTCTTATCTCCACTCTCTGGTGGTAGAGTGCCAGCCTGGAACAAAAAAGCTCAGCAACAGTATCCAGGCCCAGTTCAAACCACTGGACTGGCACAAAAGAAAGAAAATAGAATGAGACATTTCTGTGCAGGAATTTCTTTGGCAATAATGGCCATTTTTTTCTAAAAATGTTTTCATCCCCAGAGAACTCATTTGGAGATTAGAGGTAAGCATTTCATGCATATTCCTGAAAGCAGGGTGATCTCTTTTCATGCCTGGTCGTTTCTGAGGAGGTAGCTTCATTCTCTAATTCCCTGCTCATTTTCATCTTAGCAGTGGTGATTTTGAAGCAGAAATTTGTCACTGTGCTCAGGAGAGGATCAGCAGTGACTCCTCACCCTGGGTTTCTGGTCTACCTCATTGCATGTGACTCCATTCCTCACCTGGACCCTCCTAGTCTTGCTGACAATTCTTCTGCCCTGTTCTTGTCTGTTTCAAGAACATGCATTTGCCTTTCTGTGTCTGACTTCTTGCATTTCCCACAGCGATCTGTAGTTCTACACATGTGGCAGCAAATGACAGGATTTCCTTCTTGTTCCTGGCCTAGTTGTACTTTGTGATGGAAATAGACTACATCTTCTTTTTTGTGTGTGTGAAACATCTTTTTATTAAACAGCAAAGCAGAAATGCAACACAATTTTAAATGTTTGTAAATTTAGGTCACAAAAGGGATGCAAAAGGGATGTTTGCAGTACGACAATTACATCTTCATATAGTTAAAGTCATTTATGAAATCTTATACTAGAACATAAGATTATCCCATGATTAAAGTATTTCAAATCTAATAACCATAAGCTATATTAGTGGATCTCATTTCCTAGTTTAATAACTTAATATTACCTCTGATATTGATTCCTTTACCAAATGGAATCTATGAACTAAATTTTTAGAAATTGTTATGAGAATGACTAAAATTCTACCAACCAATTAGTTAAATTTACAGAGTGAGATAAAAATACTGAGCTTCCCATGCTGCTGATCACATGTATGGTGTATAGTGTACACCACTATATGTTATAGACTTTGATAGACAATTTGCCCCAGGAAAGTTAGAATGAACTTGTGACTTTAAATGAGCATCATTATTCCACAGTACTGTGAAATTTGGGAAATCATGTATTCACTTAACCACAATTTTTAAAAAAAAAGAACATCAGGGAAAGTAGGGAGCGAAGGGATGGTAGGGGGAAAACAATGGAGGGGGAAACAATACTCAATAGGAACTGTACTCATTACCTTGCTAACGTAACTGTAACCCTCTGTATAGTATCTTTACAATAAAAAAAATTTAAAAAAATACTGAGCTTACCAATTATTATACATATAAAATTCTCTCATTCATGATTCTACTACCAGTATACTCTTCAAGGAATTTGGTAACAGTTCATTGACTAGGTACAACAAATAAACCTTGCAACCAAATCCTAGAGCTGGAATAGCATAGCATGTGGTGTATGTAAGATCAGTCAAACTTAACCCATTTTCATATATATATATATATATATATATATATATATATATATATATATATATCCTGGAAGATCTCTTCTGTGCCAGAGACAATACAAATTGGGAGTGAAAACATTTGGAGTTGGTTGCTATGTTTATCACATTATATTTTTACCTATTTCTATGTATTCCTCCCAGACTTTCTACTTCTAATCAATACATAACCAAAATTTTTTTTTTGGGGGGGGGAGTCCAGTCATGAGGCCTGATCTCTAGGCCTGGGTGCTGTCCCTTCAGCTCAAGGCTAGCCCTCTACAACTTGAGCCATAGCGCCACTTCCGGCTTTTTTCTTTTTGCTTATGTGGTGCTGAGGAATCAAACCCAGGGCCTCATACATGCAAGGCAAGCACTCTACCACTGAGCCACCATCGCAGCCCATAACCAAAATTCTTATCTTTTCAGATAGCAAGGGGGTTATTTCGTGCAAAAGCAAGTTGGTTCTTTGTTTTTAAACAGATCTCAATTTGATAATTTAGTTTCAACAATCCTCTTTATAGTCCAAATCTGCTTTCAAATGATTAAAGAGAAACCATCAGTCCTATATTATTATTAGAAAGTACAACTGACAAACTTTAGGCAAGGTTTTGGTTAACTTCAGGACTTACAGATCAGATTGCTGTCGGGTGATTACTATCCAAAGAACTTTTACAA